GGAGACGGCTTTAGAGCTTGCCATTGTCGTCCGCCTCACAGATCCATGAGCCAAAGATGAAGGTTGATCCCGTTGAGAAGATCATGTTGTCGAGGTCCATCGAGCTCTCGGATGCAAATTCACCGAAAGCCCCTACCTGGCGCGCCAGCTGTCGATGTTTTACCACCGATAGCCTGCCACGGGGGTACCCGGGGCAGTTTGTTCGGGCTTCGGCATATGCAGAACTTGACGGTGAACGCAAGAGACGATCGATTTATCTTGGTTCGGACCCTCGATCGTTGATCGAGTAATAGCTGAAAGGTCCTTGTTTGGTTTTGGTAATTGAGTGACAACCTAGGTGGACTAATTGTGTTTATGTGAGATACACAGGTAATTAGTCCACAGGTACATGTGTGTGAGCAACATATGCCATGAAGGTGAAAATGGCTTGGAGATGTTGCAAAGCTCACACATGTGATGATGAAGGAGCTTATTGCACATGAGACATGACATTGAGTCATGTGATCAAGGTGAAGAAGATCAAGACAAGACTTGGCTTGATGGACCGGTTGCAAGCGTGAAGGGCAAGTCGGAGGCTTTGGAGTGATGGACCGCGTGGCGGTGAAGCTTGAGCAAGACTTGGCGCCGATGGACGATGGCAACGGTGAAGAGCAAGTGAAGTCAAGATCGATGAACCAATATGATCACGTGATGATATGAAGTGGATCATATCATTGTTGATCGTGTTGGTGCATGTGTTGCATCGACGTTGGAGAAGATGGAATGGAATGCGCAAGGCAAAGGTATAACCTAGGGCATTTCATTTCACCGGTCATAGGTGTGTAGAGAAGTTTATGATCGGGTTTAGGATAGATGGCCGTACTATCAAGAGGGGCAAACTTGTTTGCATATCGGTCATCTAGTGCCACTCGAGTGATCTAACTTTACATCGTCGCTAGGATCGAGTGGTGTGGCAAGTTAAGTGGCTAATCCTTTGAAAAATGATTGTGAAAATACTAACACACATACACATGGTGGTGTACACTTGGTGGGGTTGGCACATTTACAAAGGAGATGAAGTCGGAGTTGATGTGGATCAACTCGGTGAAGAAATGGAGGCGAAAGGAGAAACTCCACCGGCGCCCTATACAGAAAAGACTGGGTCTCACAGAGTGGACCAGACGCTGGTCACGTAGTGATCGGACGCTGGGGTCCTACGTCCGGTCAGAGCTGACGTATGGTGACGTAGGCAGGGCAGAACCTGGAGAGTGACCGGACGCTGGTGCTGCGTCCGATCGCGATCGACCGGACTCGTCCGATCGTGAAATGTCATTTCTGGAACCTTACTGGAAACGACCGGACGCTGAAGGCTCAGCGTCCGGTCAGTTCATGCTGGAGCGTCCGGTCGTCAGATGACCATTGAGATCTAGTGAACAGCATTTGAAGGAGGGGACACATGGCGTGCATCGCACGACCGGACGCTGAGGTCCAGCGTCCGGTCAATCTGACCGGAGCGTCCGGTCGTCCCGAGTTTTACCCAGTGAAGGGGTAACAACTCTATTTGCCCATGGGGTTATAAATAGAAGCCATGGTTGGCCTTGGGCCGCAAGCTGAGTACACTAGAGCCTTGGTGGCTTGTGTAGTAGTGCTTGGGAGCCCTCCATCTCACACATACTTGATAGTGATCATCCGATTGTGTGAGTGAGCGATTCTAGTGCGATTGCATCGTGAGGTTGCATCGAGTGGCACTAGGTGATCGAGTTGCAAGCCGGAGGTGCTCTTTACTCTTGGAGGTTGCCACCTCCTAGATGGCTTGGTGGTGGTCTCCGTCGAAGCCCGCAAGAAGCTTGTGCGGCGCTCCGGAGAAGTGCTTTATGAGGGGCATTGTGCTCGCCCCGCGGGAGCCGCGAAGACCAACTTTAGTAAAGCGTGTCATTGAGCTACCCTCACTTCCGGGGTAGGTTCTTGCGGCGCCCGACGTGCGGGCTTGGCGGGTGATGCCAATTAGCCGCCGAACCACCAAGTGAGCGGTCGACACAACGGGGACTAGCGCGTTGGCAAACACGTGAACCTCGGGAGAAAAATCATCATGTCAACCTTGTTTTTCCCATTGGTTTGCATCCTCATTACACAAGCTTGCAATTACTTTCATATACATTGAGCTTGTGTTGTTGCTTTCGTAATTAGTTAGCTTGTGTAGCTTACTAGTTACCTTCTTGCTTATATAGCATAGAAGTAGCTCCCTTGCGTGGCTAATTTGGTTTGTGTAACCTTGTTAGTCACATTGCTTAGTTTGTGTAGCTAAGTAATTGTGCTCTCTAATTTGGCATTGGTTGCCTTGTTATTGAGCATTACTAGTGAGCTTAGGTGGCTTCGTGCTTTTGCTTACTAGCATGTGTAGGAGCTCCCTTGTTGCTTAAAGTACTAGTGGCATAGGTTTGTGTGACCTTGCTCCTAGAATTTGTTAGGAGAGCTCTAGCTAGCCCTGCACCTTAGTTGCTTAATTAGTATCTTTGGAAGGTGCTAGAGAATATAGATAGAGGGGTGTAGTCTTGGCTAGACCGATAGTTTTAATTTTGCACTTGTTTCGGTTAGCCGACGTGATTAATTGTAAAAAGGACTATTCACCCCCCCTCTAGTCATCATCTCGATCCTTTCAATAGCCCTACGTCCAGTCGGCGTTAGCCTTGCGTTGGATTGATTGTCAAGTGTTGTGTTTTGTCTCGTAAAGTCCTCTCGTCCCTAGGAACCCTGCCCTACTTTATATAGTCAGGAGGTCAGAATCCTAGTCGGTTTACAATGAGAGTTCATAGTAGGATTACAGAGTAATACTATTACTACGATTACATGGGAAGAATCATAGTTAGACTAGATCTTCTCCCTTCCTTGCGGGGTATCCCGTGGGTCCCGCACCGACAATCGTGTGCTTGAGAGTGATGTGGAGCTCGTTTTCCGTGCACAAATAATGTTGATTAGTGGAAGAAGAAAAAGGAGTGAAGAAAGACAAAATAAATAAATAGTAGTAGTAGTAACAACATCAACAACAAGTACAATTAATAATAATATGTGTGTTTAAAAAGAAATGAAGGTGTACGAAGAAATCTTCAGCGATGACCTCGGTAATATGCAGGCACTTTGTGAGTTGTTCTCGCCCGACGGCGTTAATGGGTGTGCACAAGCAACGTCGCCATGCTCGGCTGCCAAGGCATAGGCCTCCTAGCCGGTGCCGCAATTCGGGTTAATTAGTGTCCAATGTAACAATATAGATTTTACATTAGGGTGGGTCTGAGCATCTATGTAAAACTCTTCTGACCTCCTAGGGTGCAGCTAGGACTTATTGTATTAAACTTTTTTCACTATCTTAATGCAGAGACACGGAGACCTTTTGCGTGATCGAGAAAAAAGAAATGAGAGAAAAGGAAAACAAAACAAAATGAAATGAAAGGAAGGGTGTGCAGCCGCTGGGCCTTTCCAAAACTGGGAGAGCGTGGGGGGCGCCTGTGGAAGCGAAGCTTGGCACGGCCTGGGCCTTTAGGTGACAGATTGGCCCCTCCCCTGTAGTCCTCATGGAGAGTATGGGCTGACCTGCGGCCGCTGGGCCCATCATCTCACTATACCTACTTTGCAATTTTTCTTGTTTCATTTATTACTACCAAAATAAAAAGAGTGTCGCATCAGAAAACAGAAAAAGATACTGTGAGTGCATTCCACTGCTTGCGACCGACAGACACATGGGCCCGCACCTCTCAGTCTGAATACGGGCACACACACTGACTGACACCGGAGGACACGCCGAAGTGGCAATTGGGGGCCGTCAGAGCATGGGGCGGGCCAACGCTACATTACAGATCGCCAGACCAGAGGTTAATTAATTGATTACCGTTTCAGGCCACCTATTCCTACTGAATTGAATGCACCGAAAATGCAGATGCTGTCAAAGAACCAGAAACGGACGGTTCCACTACACTCTACAGTGCCAGTCTCGCAGCTCAGCTCGCAAGGAAAACGAAAACCAAACGAAACGAGGGATCAGACGTGCAGCGGTTAGCAGAGGTTACCGCCACCGGATGGCCACCGGCGTTTGTACGTTACCTTGTCGGCGGCAACACGCACGAAACTGAACTGTTGACCAGGCTAGCTGCATGCATGGTAGGAGTGGTGGTGTGATGAGCACAGAAGCTTCGGCTCGGAGAGTTTGAACTCAAGTAGTCCAGCACTAGCGGCCTTGAGATTCACGAGCGCACGCGGGCGCGGTGCACATTACAAAGCCTGGCCATTAATTACTGCTTACTAATCACTACGCCGGCTCGAGAAGTTCAGGGAGAGTATTTTAGTGAAAGTTCAAAGACGAGTACGATGACGAGATGCAACGAACTTCTGAACTTGCCAATCTGCGTTTGGACTTTGGAGTACCGACTCACCCGTAGTGTGGAGAATGGCGGTGAAGACATCACCGTGGCATTGCAGTGTATTATTTCCGTCAGCTCTGTCGGTCTCCAACACGCGACCGTCCCGTCCATGCACGCCGACGCTGGACTGGACTAGCACACGGGCACGGCCACGGCGGCGGTGACTCCGAGCGCCAGGCCGTTCCACGTTGACTCGGCGGCGCCACGCCACTCCCGGCCCAAGTACGCCGACCGACCCCGTTGCGTTCCTGGTCCCCAGCGGCCCAGCAAGCAGACGCAGCCACACAAAGCGAGACGGACACGCAGGCGGCACGCCACGCGCTCCGTCCGTCCTGCTCCTGCACCCGCACCTGCACCTGCACGCTGCACCGCGTCGCGAGGCCGACCAGCGGCGCCAGCCCGTGCATCCTCCCGCCTCCGCGCGCCCTTGCCATGTGACCTGACCTGACCCCCCTGTCCCGCCCCTGACAAGGGAGGCACCGCGCGCTGCCCTGCCACTGCCACCCACCCGCCCGCCTCCTTCACTCCACTCCACCTCCCCTCCCTCGCCCCCTACCAAAAACCTCACGCCACCCGCGCGCCGCCACCGCCGCGGCCGCCAGCCCGCCCGCCATGATCCCCGCTCCTCGCGCCTCCACCGCCGGAGGCAGCAGGTGGCGCCGCGTCCTCCTCGCCCTCGCCCTCCTCCTCCTCACCCTCGCGCCACCCGCATCAGCGCAGCCGACGCCGACGAGCCCAGCGCTACAGGCGGCGTACACGGCGCTGCAAGCGTGGAAGCGGACGGCCATCTTCTCGGACCCGTCCAACTTCACAGCCAACTGGGTCGGCCCGAACGTGTGCGCCTACAACGGCATCTACTGCGCGCCGCGGCCCTCCGACGGGGAGCTGGCCGTGGCCGGCATCGACCTGAACCACGCCGACATCGCGGGCCACATCCCGGCCGACCTCCCCCTCGGCATCCCCGACCTCGCGCTGCTCCACCTCAACTCCAACCGCTTCTGCGGGGTGCTGCCCGACACCTTCCTCCGCCTGCGGCTCCTCCACGAGCTCGACCTCAGCAACAACCGCTTCGTCGGCGCGTTCCCCGCCGTCGTCCTGGGTCTCCCCGCGCTCAGGTACCTCGACCTCCGGTTCAACGACTTCGAGGGACCCATTCCACCGACGGTCTTCGACCGCCCGCTCGACGCCATCCTCCTCAACTCCAACCGTCTCCGTGGCCCCATCCCGGGCAACCTCGGCAACTCGCCGGCCTCGGTCGTGGTCCTCGCGCACAACCGTCTCGGCGGATGTATCCCGCCGTCGATTGGGAGGATGGCGGACACGCTCAATGAGATCGTGCTCATCGACGACGACCTCACCGGCTGCGTCCCGCCGCAGGTCGGGTTGCTTAGGAAGGTCACGGTGTTTGATGTCAGTGGGAACCACCTCCAGGGCCCGCTCCCGGCGACCGTCGGTGGGATGGCTGCCGTCCAGCAGCTCAATGTGGCCGGGAACCTGCTCAGGGGCGCCGTGCCGCCGGCTGTGTGCGCGCTGCAGGGGACGCTCAGGAACTTCACCTACGAGGACAACTTCTTCACCTCGCGCCCTGGGTGCGCGGTCGCCACGGCGGACGGCAGGTGGAACTGCATCCCTGGCGCTCCCGCGCAGCGCCCGCCGCCGCAGTGCGCCGCCACGGCAGCACCGTTCGACTGCAGGACGGTGCAATGCCAGGCGCCGCCCACGTCTGGCCCGCCTGGGTCGGGCCCCGGCGGTCCTTCACAACCGTTTCCTCCACCAGGCTCCAACACGCCGTCGTACCCGTCGCCGCCTGGCAGCTCCACCACGCCGTCGTACCCGTCCCCGCCAGGGAGTTCTACCACGCCGTCGCACCCGTCCCCGCCAGGGAGCTCCACCACGCCGTCGCACCCGTCCCCGCCAGGGAGCTCCACCACGCCGTCGCACCCGTCCCCACCAGGGAGCTCTACGACTCCGTCGTACCCGTCGCCGCCCACAGACGGCAGCAGCCCCAAGCCATCAATGCCGCCTTCATCCGGGCCTTCATCCCATGGTGGCTCGCCTCCGTCGTCCGGCTACCAGCCGCCGCCGCCGTCGTCCGGGTGGGCACCGTCGGGCCAACCCGTGGGCGTGCCACCACCCACAGAGCATCCCGGTGGCGTCTGGCCGCCGCACACGCCAACGGCTCCCGGCACACCAGGATCAGCGTACCCGCCGGGCACACCAGGATCGCCATCCACACCGACGACTCCGGGCACGCCAGGTTCGGCATTCCCACCGACGACCCCAGGAGCGCCAGGTTCGGCATACCCGCCGACGACTCCAGGCACGCCAGGCTCGACATACCCGCCGACGACTCCCGGTGCACCAGGGTCGTCGCCATCCACCCCGACGACTCCAGGCACGCCGGGTTCGACATACCCGCCGACGACTCCGGGCGCACCAGGGTCGTCACCATCCACGCCGACGACTCCGGGCACGCCAGGTTCAACGTTCCCGCCGACGACACCCGGCTACCACCCTCCTTCCCCAGGTGGTGGTTCTCCAGGCGGCGGCCACGGCGGCAACCAGCACGGCACTCCACCATCGACACCAGGCAGCGGCGGCGGCGTCCTCCCATTCCCGCCCGCCCACGGCATGCCCTACTCCTCGCCGCCGCCGCCACCGTCCGACCCAGCGGGGAACCTGCCGTTCCCGCCCGTCCACGGCGTGTCCTACTCGTCGCCCCCACCGCCGCTCCCGCCCGTCTACGGCGTGTCCTACGCGTCGCCCCCGCCGCTGCTCCCGCCCGTCTACGGTGTGTCCTACTCGTCGCCCCCGCCGCCCGCGACGCCGTACAAGAGCAACTAGCCGCGTGCTGATCCGGCGGCGGCGGCGCACCCGCCAGTGACAGACAGACAGAGTCGAATCGCCATGACGCATCAGTACATCTTGCACTGTAGCTGTTGGTTCTTCTTCCTCCCGCCGCTATTTTCTCACTTGTAATAGTAGTTTTAAATTTGCTCCCTTTCGAGGTTGGTTCTTTCGATCGATCGATCGATCAGATTGGATTCAAAGGCTTCGCGGATTCTTTCTTCTCCTTCTTTCTCTACTAGTAATAGCAGCAGTACCCTTGTTGTTTAGCTCGATCTCGCTCGTCACTCCATGATCATCGTATCATGCTCGTTCGTGCCTCTCATGTCTCACCTGCAAGCGAGTTTGTTTATTGGTAGCAGTAGCACTGTGATCCGTACGAGCTTTGCCGGCTGGCAGACGCGTCGCCGCACCGCATCGCCGTGCCGGCGCTCCGTGCTCGGAGTAATGAGAGGCGGAAAGCGAAGCCGAAAAGGTCCGGAGTCCATGGGCCACGCGTGCAATGCACCAAGCAGTGCAGGGGACGAAGAGGAGGAAGAAGTACACATAGAGTGGAGTCCACTGGAGTGCCATTGGCAAACCGGCAGCAGGACCAGGGCAGCGGCATTCCGTTCCGGTGGCGCCAGGCCGCCAGCGGCCACCGCCCCCGACAAGGTCACATGCAAGGCCAGCGAGGCTTGAGGAACGGATCTTCATATCGAACGAACGGGCGATGATCATCGTATCGTATCGTATCGTACGAGTATTAACTAGTGGCATTGCCATGACTTGGGGAGTAGAGCAGTAGAGCTCGAGCTCCAATTTTTTTTAACAGAAAAAACTTTTTATATATCCTTCGGTGTCCGTGCATTTCACGTGACGCTACGAGTAACTGTCCCTTTCATTGCATTTCCTTTCCTCCATCTTCTGGCCATGGCAGGCCAGCTCACAGCTCAGGCTAATCCGCTCATGGCTGCTGCTGCTTCCGTTTTCGGTCTCGCCGCGGTAGCTGCGTCTGCCTCGTTGCCGGTGCAGGCAACTATAGATCCGATCAGCTGCGTGCCGCTGGCACATCCATTTGTGAGTGAGGCGAGTTCGGCCGTCGGGGCCTGCGCTGGACAGATCACCGTTGCTTCTTACGGCAACCGAGGAAAGAGGATGGGTCCATCCATCCTCGTGGGATCATGTGGGACTGCGACGCTTAAGATGGCAACGGGTACGTAGGTACTGGCCACCCGTCCCCGCATCCGTCAGATCAAAATCTTATTCGTTGGGTTACTTGTACCCGCAGGCGGGTAGAAAATTCATTCCATACCCGCACCTGACGGGTAATTCTTACTTAACGGGTAACCCGCACCCAACAATATACCCGAGTTCACATACCAAAATATAATAGCTTCCAGCAAAACAAATCAATAATAGAGCAGCAAAACAGAAATATATCCAGGTCAAGCTAGTTGAAATAGATCAGATGCCTCATTTGTTCATTCCAAATATGCTTATATGGGGATTTGGATTTGAGGGAGTTCTGGAATATATATACTCATATGCTTATATGGGCCTTATATGGGCTAAAATTGCAGAGGTTGGATATTATTTATGCGGGGTTTTTTACCCGCGGGTATGCGGATATAGGTAGTATACACCCACACCCGTACCCGCATACCCAATGGGTACAAGAATTCGTCCAATGCAAAATATCTTCCATTCCCGTCTCCTTATCGGGTAAAACCCGTCGGGTACTCGAGTTTCGGATACCCGTTGCCATTTTGATGCGACGCCTTCATCATGCTGTGCACCGCCGTAGCCAGATGGGGGTGCGCCGGCGCTGACCTACCAGCCGTCCAAATTCGCTTCAAAATTCATCACTTTTTTTTAGCAGCAACAAGCACAAGATTAGTACCGGTAATGAAATCCAGATGACAATTCGAAAACGTTCTGCACAGCTATCTCCCGTCGCAAATTATTCGAATCCCAGGCCCGGCCCGGCCCCAAAAACACCCTCGCACGATAAAGCTACTTGCTTGCTAGCCAACTCAGCTACACAATGGCAGGCCTCTACTTGACTATTTGGGCCCCATGCCGCACAGCACCGCGGCGGCGTGACGCGCGAAGTAGGTCAGGATGACGTCGGCGCCGGCTCGCCGGAGGCACATGAGCGACTCCATCATCACCTTCTGCTCGTCCACCATGCCCAGAGCCCCGGCAGCTTTGATCATCGAGTACTCGCCGGAGACCTGCACGAGCAAGAGGAAGAGGTCGGCAGGATTAGTAGGCGAGTGGCGAGCAAAGCATTTCGGAGAAGGTAATTTAATCTGACACATGCAACATTTATTATCTATGATATGGTATGAAAAGCTCCTGTCTTGGAAGCATCAGTGTGTCCGGTAACTGAAAACTTTGGTGGCGGTTAGCAGATGATCAGCATTAACTGCTCTGTCTGTAGTAGTAGTAATTGGAAGCCCCCACCAAATACGCTTTTGTTGGTGCCAAGTTAAAAAAAAAAAAGAGAGTTGACAACACATGCATTTCCAGACAGCGATTAGATAAGCAAAACACAGGACACAGGACAGGAAAAATGAAATCCATGGGATATAGACAAAGCAAGGACAGGCTTCATATGACTTGCTGGTTCTGCTTGTAGCAGCAGAAAGAACCTTGTTCATGTTTGCTGGACAACTAAGCGAACTTCAATCACCATTTTGATGTGCACAGATGTATAGCAGAGCGGCAGAGCTGAGAGCACTGGTATTACATAGTAGCAAGCTACAATTAACTTTGTTCAAGTGACCATTCTCACAATGACTTAACTGATGATGCTTAAAGTAAGCATCAGATAATTTATGTGCAATCTGATCTGGACAGGATGACAGAGAGGTTCTAAGGCAATGAATACAAGATTAACAAGTCAGGTGTCCAGCAATTGGAAAGATTGAATTTTGATATGCACTACAGTGCCAATGCTAAATGATAGACGATTGGATAGACCAATAGCATTGGCAGTTGGCACCATACTTCCACTTCAAACAAGGAATATGAACATTTTGACCAAATGGAGGGGAGAACTTCAGAATTGCATGGGTGAGCCAATGAACTGACCTGGTAAGCAGCAATCGGTAGGGCTGAATTATCCCGAAGAAGTCGGATGATATCCAAGTATGGTAATCCCGGTTTCACCTGTCAAATGAGGTCCATGGTTATAGATGTACACATAAAAATTGTCTTCATAACAAGCCACCATACAGCAGGAACATTACTAGCAGAATGTCAGCTCCTTCTGCCTCATCCGCTGCGGTTTCTATGAGGGCTTCTCTGTAGTTGGCTGGGTTCATCTGATAACTTCAGATTAAAGAGAAAGCCAACATTTAATACCAAGCAATTAAATTGTTCACTAGATGGAAATGGTATCTTTGGTGCAAGTTCCATACGTCTTCTTATCTCCAAATCTTGGGTTTGAATCTAAAGCTTCTCGGAATGGGCCATAAAAGGAACTGGCATACCTGCAAAAACATACATTACAGATGTATCATTTGGGTTCAAACTAAAGAAATATAACAGGATGGCAAATGTGGGGGTATGGAAATGGTATGGTGACAGGAAGAGCATAGAAAGATACTTTGCAGTGTAGGACATAATGGAGACATCATGGAAACCCTCAGCATCCAGAGCAGAGCGAAGTGCTCCAATACGGCCATCCATCATGTCACTAGGGCTGACAACATCAGCACCGGCACGAGCCTATTTATATGGAGATTTTTTTGTGAGAAAAAACTAGCATGTTTATGTGACCAAACACAAAATCAAGAGATGAGATGAACCTGTGAAACAGCCTGCTTGCACAACTGATAAACTGTTTCATCATTCATAATTACTCCTGATGCAGGACACAAACAAGTCAATGATTAGCTGGAGAAAATAAAGTTCATTTTTGGATATTTCTTATGACTTGTCTAATTTTCTCATCCAGGAGAAAAAACATTAAGTAACAAAAATTCAAACTCAAGCATCATTATGCAACATATAATACAGAAAATCAAACTGACATATTTACTAGTGGTTCTTAACAGCTACTCCATGAAAGAGAAATACAGAAGTCAATGACTGAAAAATAAGAGCAGCAAGAAGTGGTTTCAGCTAGGCAAACAAAAAGCACAAAACATGTTACAAAGTACAAACTAAATTCTAGTGACTAATATCAGGCATTAAGGTATAAGGCCTCCTGGAAAAAGTAATTCTGACAAAGTACTGTAGACAATGTATGGAGACTTGAAAATATATTGTGTACAGCATCTTCAGGGAAAAGGTGAACAGTTTTAAGCAACTAAGTTTTCAGTATAAGCCTGTGAAATTTCTTTGGCCCTTAAGGATTTTTTGGAGTAGCAAGATCAATATGCAGCCAATGGTCACATACCATATGTGCAAGATGAGAACAAAGGAGCCATCTTTCTTACCATCCTCCCTCACAATACCATCATGACCATCAGATGAATAAGGGTCTAACGCAACGTCCGTGTAGATAACCTAGCGGTCATATGAGTTTAAGGAAAGATATTAGGAACTATGATGCAAGCCAGACACTGAATGAGGGGTACATAAGCTTACAATATCAGGGAACTTGTCTTTGAGCAAGCGGATTGTACGTGGAACCAGACCATTATCGTTATACGCTTCATCTCCTGTAGGAGACTGGAGGAAATGAAGAGTGTAAGCTTCTCTATATAAGACACAAACAAGCAAGAAATTTGTTATATTAGTTAATAGACCTTCAATGCATCAGGAACTTTAGGAAAGAGCACAAAACTGTTAACGCCAACATCGCGGGCCTTATAAACCTGCATATACCATCATTTTGAAGAGTTATTTAATACTATTGACCAAGCAGCAAAATGCATATATATTTCTGTCTCCAGTAAATTCATTAAAAAGAACATTACAAATACACATTCATGATCTGAGATAATCCCCAATGCTTTCAATACCTCCTCAAGCAGCCCGTGCCTCCACCCAAGCCTATAGCACCCTGGCATAGCTCCAATAGGAGCATCTTCTTCTCCTGCAGATCATCACAGGGCAAATCCGATATATCAAATCTGAATTGTGTTGAACACTCATGTCAGTGAATTCCACTACCAACCTTCATGGATAAACAATGGGAGCACAAAATTGGCAGGCGAGATGCTCGTCTCCTGGAAGGCAGCCCTAAGAGCAGGCGATTTCCGGTTGCGACGGGGGCGCTTTGCCATGTCCTAAATAACACATGGGGAGAAAAAAAAAATACACACGTCAGGATTTTGCAGTTACAGACAGTAAGAGCACACAAAATTCAGAGAGGAAACCCAGCGAGTGCATACAAGGGGCCTGATCTCCGGTGTTCCTTCAGGGGCCTTTGGCCTAACCAGCGGCGGGGGAGCAGGGAATTTCCCAGCGACGGCGTCAGCCTCGCACTCCTCGATGGTCCTCCCGGACGGCGCCCTGACGGCGGCCGCCGCCTCCTGCTCGCTGCTGACCCTGATGGCCGTGGAGCGCAGCCTTGGCCCGGCTCTTGGGACGGCGGAGCAGCTCCCAAAGGCCGCATGGCCATGTCCACTCCTAGCCTGGAGCATCTGAACGTTGGCGGGGGAGAAGGAGACGGTGGACGCCATGGCCTAACTGCAACGTCAATGCCAATACGATGGATTCCACAGACATGGTCAGCAATTGGGAACTATATCTTATCTTCTTTATTTATCTTGTAATGCTGAATAATTCGACCAAAATCGGAAGTGGTATTCTCAGAGTGAAAGAAATCAGGGGGATTGGAGATTGCTGTGTGCAGTCAAGAACTTGCAAATCTTGGAGAAGAAGAAGAGGAGCAGATGGCGGCAGGGGGGTTACCTGGACACTGGAGAGGACGAGGAGGAGACGCAGCAGCACGAGAGGGGAGTTCGGAGAAGCTTCTACTCGCCTAATCCTGTGGCCTCGGTTTGCCGATGGCGATGCCCGCCTAGTAGACCAGAGGCTTGCATTTCTTTGTCGCCATCTTCCCAGTGTTTGTCAGTTTCACCAACTCTCTGTACAGCTCTGATTTGTGATTTCAGACTTGGGGCCTCTCTCAACTTTTTTTTTTAATTGACAAAAGAAGAAAAAGAAGAAGATTAAGTTGGCTCAAAATCTTCTTATATGAATCCTGCCTCCAAAAGCTGGCCGGCGAGCGTGCCACGTCGCCTGCTTTTCCCGGCCGTTCGATCGGACGCGCGGACGGTCCAGATCGGGCGAGCCGCGGTATTTTTTCAAAAAAACCCTCGAACTTTAGTTGAATCAACCCGCAGTCCAGGCCTCCTCTCAGTTTTGTTTTCAAAAAAGCCCTCGAACTTTACTGAAATCAACCCTCAGTCTCTTCCCCTCCTCCAGCTCCCGTGAAAAGAAAAACGCCGCGCCGCCTCCGCCTCCGCCTCCGCCTCCATCTCCCCACCGGCCGTCGTGCCCCCGGATGTCGCGCCCAGCTGCCTCGCCGTTGGCTTCCTTCCTCAGATCCACTTCACCTCCTCCCGTTCCCCAGCCGGGTGCCTGGCGGGCTTCTCGGAAGAAGGACGGAGCGGCTGAGCAAGGCAGAGGTGATGGCCGGTGGCGGCGGCACCTTGCCGAGGTTCTTGGGGAGGAAGAACCGGTAAGCACGCCTCCTCGCCCGTGATGCATGGGCCACGGCAAGGGCGCAACCTACCGCGCACAAGCGCGGCCGCCGCCGTGGCAGCGCAGGCGCCAGCCACCAGCGAGGCGGCGCGACCCGCGCTGTCAAGCCGAGCACGGCTCGCATGGGCGTCGTCCCAGGGCAGCCGGACGAGGCAGCGGAGGTGCGGACCACAAGCGCAGTTGCCAGCTATCAGCAAGGCGGCGCGGCCCGTGCGGGCGACCTGAGGGCATATGGAAAAGCTTGTCCAGTCTGCTCACGAGGCATCAACATCCTCCAGCAGGTGAGCCCGTCCAGTCTCCCCGTGTGCTCTGCCTCCACTGCTATTTCGTGCAGCTGAATTGTTCCATGTCAACAGTAATGTGTAGGAGAACAGTCATGAGAGCGCACGCAAGGTGCTTGGCGAAATGCCAGCAAACTGAGGTTGCTGTTACCGGAAAGAATATTTTGCACAAGGTCTGCTCCTATTCCATCTGTCAGTAAGCACCCAAAACCAAAGGTTCGCATCTTTGTATTGCTTCAAAAAACTTCCTCAATCAAATTAATGGCTTAATATATCTATTGCAGTTCATTCCATGGGCATGCCACTTCCAGACAAACAATATTGTCAAGTGATTGTTTCCATAAGTGAATCATGTCTTGTTAGTAATTCTTGCAATGCAACTTCATATGAAGATTAAGTGATGAGTAGGTTTCGCTGTAGGATGGCAGAGGCAAGCAGAGGATCCAAGAGAAATGCTTTAACACAGTATTGTAATGAGAAGGAAGATGATCGTTCAAGAGTGTACAGGTGAGATATCGGTTTTTGATCTCTTAGGGTTACATGGAGGCAAATCAGTATATCATAGACATTATCCACGTGTCCAAACAGAAATATCAAATGATGCTATTTTAGGTTGTAGAAACAGCCTGTTTATCAGGTTGTGTCAACCTATTATAGGATAAGGCGTATGCAGGAAATGGTCCTGAAATTCTTTTTTTTTTGCATAGTTTAAGTAGCAGCCTGGTACTAACACCAGTAAGTGTACACCCTATTGCAACAAATATACAATTCTATTCTCATCATAGTTCCTTTGTTCTAATTTAAAACTACTTATGTAATATCCTAACAGGATAACCTTAAAAGAGTAGTATTCCTGGCATCATCACTAATGAAAACTGTCAATTCTCAACATTTGCAAACCTCATTTTATAGCTTATGCGCTAATGTTACCAGGATTTTATCCTTATTCCTAACAAAAAAAAATTAATGAAACAGGAGGTTGCTAACTTGGTACAGATTGCAATTATGAATATGTTGACATGTTTCAATCTTGAATAGTATATGACTGAAAAGTGACAGGCTCAGGATAAACCAGATCAGAGCTTACACAGATCAGAGCTTACAGATACAAGCTGGCCCTTCACCGAAGAGCGCGGCAACGCCGCGCGTCTTTCTAGTCTAAACGGAAATGCCATGCTGAGGACGTCGGATCCTCCGGACGCTGTTCGCAGGCCCTAACATCAGCCCAATGGCCCAGTCGCCCACACGTCTGTAACCGTAGCATGTTGTCTCCATTCTCAAAAAAAAATCACCATAGCTCGAGCGGACGCGCTCCGCTGCAACCACGGTATGCCGCACCGTCCGGCGTTCTCCACGGTGACCAGGGCTCGACGGCCAGCATCTCCATCGTGTTCGAACGTGGCCGCCCACCTTGATCCCTCTCCATCGCGCCTCTCGGCTGCCCGCCTTCCTCTCTCTCCACCACGCCTCTCGTCCGCCGTGGTCTTCTCCAGCTCGCCGGCCGCCTTCTCTACCGAAGCAGCGATAGCTCGCACCGGACCCGCCACGGCTTTCTCCACCGGAGCGGCGACAGCTCGCGCTAGCACGAGATCGGGAACGCCACCATCCAGCGTTGCGCCGATCCACCTCTCCCGTCGCATAAGGGGAAGCAGGGGAGGCCTGCGCCTGCTCCCCCATCCACTTCGCGTTGTCGGCATAAAGGGGAGGCATGCGCCACCGCAGTTCTCCACCAGGTAGGTCATGCTCGCGTGGCGACGTTGTGTTTCAAGTGTTTGTGGACGTTTTTTCAGCCACGTTGCAAGCTCATGTTTCAAGTGTTTTAATTGTTTCAGATGCTTGTTTTAATTGTTTCATGCGATTATTGTAAAAGTAGATCGGGATGTTGCATATGTTTCAATAGTTGTACACGTATGTTGCAAGCGTCCATCCCAATGTTTCATTTGTTTTTTTACACGTATATTGCAAGTATTTCAGATGCATGTCTCAAGTGTTTCATCTGTCTTCTTTTCTATGTTGCAAGTGTTGCATCTGGATGTTTCAAAAGTGGATCGGGATGTTGCACATGTTGCAATGGTTATGTTGTAAGTGTTGCATTTGGATGTTTCAAAAATAGATTGGGATATTGCACATATTACAATGGTGTTTCAAATGTACTCCCTCTGTCCTAAATATGTGTCGTTTGCGCTTCTCGAGAAACAACTTTGACTAAATATATATTAAAAATATTAATATTTATGGTACATAATTAGTATCATTGGAAAGATTTTTTAATCTAGTTTTTTAATAAATTTATTTGGAGATCCAAATGTTGCACGTATTTTTCACAAATTGAGTCAAACTTGTGGCACGCACACCAACGATGACAGTTATTTAGGGACGGAGGGAGTATGTCTCAAATGTTTATCTCTTTTAGACGTATGTTGTAAATATTTCATCTGGATGTTTTAAAAGTAGATCTGGTGTTTGAATGTTGTAGTGGGACCTACCTGCCACACGCACCTGCTTGCAGCTGCTTGGCCCGCGTGCTTGCGTGTGAGAGCGGAGGGGCACGGGAAACGAGAGCGGGCGCAGATCGAGACACGGGCCCCGCGTGGGCACGCGCATGCGTGAGAAACGGAGCGGTGTGGGCCCCCATGTGAAGAGGCGTGCGGGCGGGTGGGCGGTCGGACGCAGCTGGCACGAGCGTCCGGACGCATCTAGGCGCCAGCAGTTTCGAAATTTAAATAAAGCCAATTTCAAGATAGAAAGTGGAGCTTTCAAAAAAAAGAAAGAAAGAGCGATCTTTCAGCTAGGCTCATTCGAAATCCAGACAAACAAAAGTCAGAGTAAGTGAAACTCAGGCAAAACTCATTCGAACACAGCATACACAGAACAACATCTGCTCATGAAAAATCTGCTGGAGAAAGACAAACCAAGAAGAATTAGAGCATTATAAATGTTGTGAAACGACACCTATACGTGAACGGACGTCTATACGAGTGACCTCATTCATCAAGCACATGATTAGTGGATAGGATTAGACAGTTAATTTTGTTCAAAAGGCATGTCTTTTGGGAACAGTCGTGTCCCTTCGTGACACCTCTTCATTTGTATAAATATATTTACGAGATCAATGAAAACAACAGTTCTCCCAAATCTTGTTCATTTACATTCACTTCTAACACGTTATCAGCACTTTTGCTCTACAAACGAGGAGAATAACAGAGGTCTGTACCACCAGCGGGAAGACGCGGAGGCAGTTCTAGCCAAGAACAAGAAGCGTTCTTCACTGGAGAATGGAAGTGCAGAGTTCGACCATGAGACGCTTGACAATAGCACTCACAGATTATCTTGATTTGCTTCTTCCATGGCTTCATCGACCAACAGAACCAAAAGAAAATTGATGCTTTCTGTCCGGATTGCATCAAAGCACTGTAAGATGCAATTTAATTTTCATCAATTTATGATATTCTTACCTCAATAGGAAGTTGCAATCAATCTGTTGTTTGGCACACTCCGTCTCGTGCCACCAACTGGTACCCTGCTTGTGCGCCATGCTTGCGGTAGCAGTTGCGTATGCACCTTGCCGTTAACATCATAGTTGTGCCAAATAGGCTGCGTCTCGAGCGAAGTTTTCGTTGGAGATCGCTATCGCTGACGACCCAGCAGGCGGCGGCGATATCCACATGCCACTACGCCACACCGATGATAGG